ACGTCAGCAGAGAGAAGGACAGAGCTGAAATAAGTTAAATATCTGATTACAACAACTCTGCTTTCAGACAAGTCTCTCTCTCTCGGGTCTCTCTCTCTCTTCAGTCTCTTTCTGGTCTCTCTCTCTTCGATCTCGCTCTTCTGTCTCGCATTCGTCTTTTTCTGGTCTATCTCTCTCTAAGGTCTCTCTCTGGTCTCTCTCTGGTCTCTCTCTGGTCTCTCTCTGGTCCCTCTCTGGTCTCTCTCTCTGGTCTCTCTTCGGTCTCTCTCTGGTCTCTCTCTCTGGTCTCTCTCAGGTCTCCCCCTCGGTCTATCTCTGGTCTCTCTCTGGTCTCTCTCCGGTCTCTCTCTGGTCTCTCTCTGGTCTTTCTCAGGTCTCCCCCTCGGTCTCTCTCTGGTCCCTCTCTGGTCTCTCTCTGGTCTCTCTCTGGTCTCTCTCTGGTCTCTCTCTGGTCTCTCTCTCTCGTCTCTCTCTCTAGTCTCTCTCTCTGGTCTCTCTCTGGTCTCTCTCTGGTCTCTCTCTCTGGTCTCTCCCTGCTCTCTCTCTCTGGTATCTCTCTGGTCTCTCTCTCTGGTCTCTCTCAGGTCTCTCTCTGGTCTCTCTCTGGTCTCTCTCTGGTCTCTCTCTGGTCTCTCTCTGGTCTCTCTCAGGTCTCCCCCTCGGTCTCTCTCTGGTCCCTCTCTGGTCTCTCTCGGCGCTCTCTCTGGTCTCTCTCTGGTCTCTCTCTCTGGTCTCTCTCTCTGGTCTCTCTCTGCTCTCTCTCTCTGGTCTCTCTCTCTGGTCTCTCGCTGGTCTCTCTCTCTGGTTTCTCTCTCTGGTCTCTCTCTGGTCTCTCTCTCTGGTCTCTCTCTCTGGTCTCTCTCTGGTCTCTCTCTGGTCTCTCTCTGGTCTCTCTCTCTGGTCTCTCTCTCTGGTCTCTCTGTGGTCTCTCTCTGGTCTCTCTCTCTGGTCTCCCTCTCTGGTCTCTCTCTCTGGTCTCTCTCTCTGGTCTTTCTCTGGTCTCTCTCTGGTCTCTCTCTGGTCTCCCTCTCGGTCTCTCGCTGGTCTCTCTCTGGTCTCTCTCTGGTCTCTCTCTCTGGTCTCTCTCTCTGGTCTCTCTCTGGTCTCCCCCTCGGTCTCTCGCTGGTCTCTCTCTGGTCTCTCTCTGGTCTCTCTCTGGTCTCTCTCTGGTCTCTCTCTGGTCTCTCTCTGGTCTCTCTCTGGTCTCTCTCTGGTCTCTCTCTCTGGTCTCTCTCTCTGGTCTCTCTCTGGTCTCTCTCTGGTCTCTCTCTGGTCTCTCTCTGGTCTCTCTCTCTCTTCTGTCATTGCCAACAAAGGGTGTATACCGTATTGAGATGAACTTATGTTATTGACCAAATACCTATTTTCCACCATGATTTGCAAATACATTCTTACAAAATCAGATGGTGTGATGTTCTCATTCTGTCTCTCACATTGAGGTTTACCTATGATGGAAAATACAGACCTCGCTCGTCTCTTTAAGTGGGAAAACTTTCACTAATGGGGCTGACTTTTATCCCCACTGGACTGGTCTGTCTTCTGCTGCTACGAACAAACTCTCAAACTCTCCTCGTCGCACATTTTTCACCAAGAATGTTGTAAAAAAACTGCTTCTGTCCATCCAGAGACAAAACCCTCCCCTGCTCTGTGCTGTGCTGGTCTCTGCTCTGTGCTGTCCTGGTCTCTGCTCTGGTCTGTGCTGGTCTCTGCTCTGTGCTGTGTTGGTCTCTGCTCTGTGCTGTCCTGGTCTCTGCTCTGGTCTGTGCTGGTCTCTGCTCTGTGCTGTGCTGTCCTGGTCTCTGCTCTGTGCTGTGCTGGTCTCTGCTCTGCTCTGTGCTGTCCTGGTCTCTGCTCTGCTCTGTGCTGTCCTGGTCTCTGCTCTGTGCTGTCCTGGTCTCTGCTCTGCTCTGTGCTGTCCTGGTCTCTGCTCTGTGCTGTCCTGGTCTCTGCTCTGTGCTGTGCTGGTCTCTGTGCTGTGCTGTTTTCTGTGCTGTGCTGGTCTCTGGTCTGTGCTGGTCTCTGTGCTGTGCTGGTCTCTGTGCTGTGCTGTTTTCTGTGCTGTGCTGGTCTCTGGTCTGTGCTGGTCTCTGTGCTGTGCTGGTCTCTGTGCTGTGCTGGTATCTGGTCTGTGCTGGTCTCTGCTCTGTGCTGGTCTCTGCTCTGTGCTGGTATCTGGTCTGTGCTGGTCTCTGTGCTGTGCTGGTATCTGGTCTGTGCTGGTCTCTGTGCTGTGCTGGTATCTGGTCTGTGCTGGTCTCTGTGCTGTGCTGGTCTCTGTGCTGTGCTGGTATCTGTGCTGTGCTGGTCTCTGCTCTGTGCTGGTCTCTGTGCTGTGCTGGTATCTGCTCTGTGCTGGTCTCTGCTCTGTGCTGGTATCTGCTCTGTGCTGGTCTCTGCTCTGTGCTGGTATCTGCTCTGTGCTGGTCTCTGCTCTGTGCTGGTATCTGGTCTGTGCTGGTCTCTGTGCTGTGCTGGTCTCTGTGCTGTGCTGGTATCTGTGCTGTGCTGGTCTCTGCTCTGTGCTGGTCTCTGCTCTGTGCTGGTCTCTGCTCTGTGCTGGTATCTGCTCTGTGCTGGTCTCTGCTCTGTGCTGGTCTCTGCTCTGTGCTGGTCTCTGTGCTGTGCTGGTCTCTGTGCTGTGCTGGTCTCTGCTCTGTGCTGGTCTCTGTGCTGTGCTGGTATCTGCTCTGTGCTGGTCTCTGCTCTGTGCTGGTCTCTGCTCTGTGCTGGTCTCTGCTCTGTGCTGGTCTCTGCTCTGTGCTGGTGTCTGCTCTGTGCTGGTCTCTGCTCTGTGCTGGTCTCTGTGCTGTGCTGGTCTCTGTGCTGTGCTGGTCTCTGCTCTGTGCTGGTCTCTGTGCTGTGCTGGTATCTGCTCTGTGCTGGTCTCTGCTCTGTGCTGGTCTCTGCTCTGTGCTGGTCTCTGCTCTGTGCTGGTCTCTGCTCTGTGCTGGTGTCTGCTCTGTGCTGGTCTCTGCTCTGTGCTGGTGTCTGGTCTGTGCTGGTCTCTGTGCTGTGCTGGTATCTGTGCTGTGCTGGTCTCTGCTCTGTGCTGGTCTCTGTGCTGTGCTGGTATCTACTCTGAGCTGGTCTCTGCTCTGTGCTGGTATCTGCTCTGTGCTGGTCTCTGCTCTGTGCTGGTATCTGCTCTGTGCTGGTCTCTGCTCTGTGCTGGTATCTGGTCTGTGCTGGTCTCTGTGCTGTGCTGGTCTCTGTGCTGTGCTGGTATCTGTGCTGTGCTGGTCTCTGCTCTGTGCTGGTCTCTGCTCTGTGCTGGTCTCTGCTCTGTGCTGGTATCTGCTCTGTGCTGGTCTCTGCTCTGTGCTGGTCTCTGCTCTGTGCTGGTCTCTGTGCTGTGCTGGTCTCTGTGCTGTGCTGGTCTCTGCTCTGTGCTGGTCTCTGCTCTGTGCTGGTATCTGCTCTGTGCTGGTCTCTGCTCTGTGCTGGTCTCTGCTCTGTGCTGGTCTCTGCTCTGTGCTGGTCTCTGCTCTGTGCTGGTCTCTGTGCTGTGCTGGTATCTGCTCTGTGCTGGTCTCTGCTCTGTGCTGGTCTCTGCTCTGTGCTGGTCTCTGCTCTGTGCTGGTCTCTGCTCTGTGCTGGTGTCTGCTCTGTGCTGGTCTCTGCTCTGTGCTGGTGTCTGGTCTGTGCTGGTCTCTGTGCTGTGCTGGTCTCTGTGCTGTGCTGGTCTCTGTGCTGTGCTGGTCTCTGCTCTGTGCTGTGCTGGTCTGTGAGTGACAGCCTCGTCCTCGTGTCGATCCCACACACAGCCTTTGTCTCGCTGAGCTCTGAGTTCAACGGGTCTTTTTTGTCACGCTCTGTCAGGACGTCTGAGGCCTCGTCCTGGTCCTGGCCCTGGTCTTTAAACCCTCTGCTCTGGACCGAGACCAGGACCGGGACCGGCTCAAATTTAGAGAAAGTGTGCGGAAGTGTGAGAGTAGATAAAGCTGAGTCTCTGAGATTTTTACGACTAGAGAATACAATCCATCATTTCTTTGTTTGGTATTGTATCATTTTAATGTAGAGGAATTTGGCAACTCTATGAGAGAGAGACCAGAGAGAGACCAGAGAGAGAGACCAGAGAGAGACCAGAGAGAGACCAGAGAGAGACCAGAGAGGGACCAGAGAGAGACCAGAGAGAGACCAGAGAGGGACCAGAGAGAGACCAGAGAGACCAGAGAGAGACCAGAGAGAGACCAGAGAGAGACCAGAGAGAGACCAGAGAGGGACCAGGAGAGACCAGAGAGAGTCTAGAGAGAGACAAGAGAGAGACCAGAGAGAGACCAGAGAGAGGACCAGAGAGAGACCAGACCAGAGAGAGTCTAGAGAGAGACCAGAGAGAGACCAGAGAGAGACCAGAGAGGGACCAGAGAGAGACCAGAGAGAGAGACCAGAGAGAGACCAGAGAGAGACCAGAGAGGGACCAGAGAGGGACCAGAGAGAGACCAGAGAGAGACCAGAGAGAGACCAGAGAGAGACCAGAGAGAGACCAGAGAGAGACCAGAGAGGGACCAGGAGAGACCAGAGAGAGTCTAGAGAGAGACAAGAGAGAGACCAGAGAGACCAGAGAGAGTCCAGAGAGAGACCAGGGAGAGACCAGAGAGAGACCAGGGAGAGACCAGAGAGAGACTAGTGAGAGACCAGAGAGGGACCAGAGAGGGACCAGAGAGAGACCAGAGAGAGACCAGAGAGAGACCAGAGAGAGACCAGAGAGAGACCAGAGAGGGACCAGGAGAGACCAGAGAGAGTCTAGAAAGAGACAAGAGAGAGACCAGAGAGACCAGAGAGAGTCCAGAGAGAGACCAGGGAGAGACCAGAGAGAGACCAGGGAGAGACTAGTGAGAGACCAGAGTCTTTATGGCAGTATCTTTCAGCGTTGATGGTACGAGGCGAACAAACTGGGAACCAGTTTGTTTTTGGATTCTTGATTTTTTTAATGATAGTATTTTTGCAGTGTAGTAAACTGGGTCTTCCTCCTCTTTGCGTCTGATCCTGAGTCTCTGCGAATGAACCTGATGACTTTCACCAATGGTTTTGTTTTTATTAAAATCAAGAAGCGTAACCTTAAAAAACCCGACAATCAGAGAAAAGTCGACCTGAACCGAGGGTTTTTAACCACGGCTCACAAGAAACAAACACTGAGGAAAACGGAAACACGTATGAGATTCAAGAACAAAAAGTCTGAGTGGTGCTAAAGTATTATATAGAATCAAGATGTACAGAAGAGAGAGACCAGAGAGTGAGAGAGAGAGAGAGAGAGACCAGAGAGAGAGAGAGAGATCAGAGCGAGAGAACAGAGAGAGAGAGATCAGAGAGAGAATAGAGAGAGAAAGATATAGAGCAGAGAGAGAAATTGCAGAGAGAGAGACCAGAGAGATACGAGAGAGAGTGAGCAGAGAGACCAGAGAGAGAAATTGCAGAGAGAGAAATCAGAGAGAGAGCAGAGAAACCAGAGAGAGACCTGCGTGAGAGATTAGAAAGAGAGAGAAAGATCTGAGAGAGAGGGACTAGAGAGACCACAAAAAGACCAGAAAGAGAGCAGAGAGAGACAGAGAAAGATACATCTGACAGAGACCACCGTGAGAGATTAGAAAGAGACCATAGAGAGACTATAGAAAAAGACCAGAGAGAGACCAGAGAGAGACCAGAGAGAGAGACCAGAGAGAGAGACCAGAGAGAGAGAGACCAGAGAGAGACCAGAGAGAGAGAGACCAGAGAGAGACCAGAGAGAGAAACCTGATCTGTAGCATCAAGTTAGTGCAAAATATTGACTGAATAGTAACAAATACATCACCCACGGAGTAAGATTGATTCCAAAAAACTCCACCATCTACACATCCCCCTTTTTCCCATCAGCCACTGCAGGTCCTCCTCCCATCAGCCACTGCAGGTCCTCCTCCCATCAGCCACTGCAGGTCCTCCTCCCATCAGCCACTGCAGGTCCTCCTCCCATCAGCCACTGCAGGTCCTCCTCCCATCAGCCACTGCAGGTCCTCCTCCCATCAGCCACTGCAGGTCCTCCTCCCATCAGCCACTGCAGGTCCTCTTCCCATCAGCCACTGCAGGTCCTCCTCCCATCAGCCACTGCAGGTCCTCCTCCCATCAGCCACTGCAGGTCCTCCTCCCATCAGCCACTGCAGGTCCTCCTCCCATCAGCCACTGCAGGTCCTCCTCCCATCAGCCACTGCAGGTCCTCCTCCCATCAGCCACTGCAGGTCCTCCTCCCATCAGCCACTGCAGGTCCTCCTCCCATCAGCCCTGCAGGTCCTCTTTCCATCAGCCACTGCAGGTCCTCTCTCCATCAGCCCGCGCAGGTCCTCCTCGGTCGGCACGGTCACTGACAGATTAGCAGAACTCTCAAAGATCTATGGGAAACTCGCCTGTATTTGGGCATCGTCTGGTCCTCCCGGTTCTGCGCAGTGGATGAGCTCCCATGATGCTTTGCGCCAAATACGCACGTGTGGCTCTCACGCATGTGCACAGAGGGGCTCGGCCGCGCTCTGACCAATCAGAGCAGTTCATCAGAGCGGGAGTTAGAGCGAGCAGAGTTTGTGGCACTAAAGTGTGGATTCAAACAAAACCGAAGGATTTAAGAAGAAAAAAAGTTCAGGATGACAAGGGACACTAAAATCCCCACAAAATCCTATCTTTATGAAAGCTGTATGTTCTCTGTCAGGTTCTCTGTCAGGTTCTCTGTCAGGTTCTCTGTCAGGTTCTCGCTCAGCTGATGTCAAGCTGTTTTGTTTACATTGAGTTCTATGGGGAACATTTCTGGGTAGCCCTCGTGAATTCAGTCTGGTTTAGTCTGGTTTAGTCTGGTTTAGTCTGGTTTAGTCTGGTTTAGTCTGCAGTACCGCGATAATCCCCCGAGCACATGGTTGTTCCGCTCCAAGCTAGTAACACCCTATCCAGTTATTATAACAGATCCATGGAGTCCTCTCTCTTCTGCTCAGGCGGAGGTGAAACCCTGCTCTCTGAAGAAGCATTTACAAGTTTAATGAAGAAAAAGGTTACAGTAGTGAGCCCTTGTTATTACACAGGCGTTAATAATCCCAGCAGTGAGACGGAGCCGTGTCATGAGACTCATTGTGCATTCTGACGGCGAGCTGCATCTGCATGGGAAATGTAATCACGGGCTGAAGTTTTATTAAAGTAAGTGATGTGGAGGATGAGTAAGACAGTAATCTCCCGACGCCTCCGCTCGCCTCAGAAGAAAACATTACAGAGATGAATTATGTCTGCATGTCATTGCCAGGGCTGCTGCTCTGGCTGCAGAGAGACAACCATGATTCAATTTGGAGAGACGTGAAACAAGAAAGCTTTTGAGTATTTTAATGAGAGGTGGTTTGGCGCCCTAGGCCCCGGTGCGGCCTTCAGTTAGGGGAGGCTCCTGCGCTGGGGCGCGTAGAATCCCCCCGGGGCCTAGGTACTGGTGGCGGCATCTTGGCAGCGTGAAGCCGGTTTGAAGGCAGGTTGGAGGCAGGGTGAAGAGGAGGAGGAGGGGAGGCGGTGGATGCGAGGCTTCGGGAGGCCGTAGAATGGGAGTTGCTCCGCTTTTAAGCGGCTGGTCTGTCCGGCACGGTGTGATTGGAAGGGGGCGTTTGCTGCGCCATAGGCTGAGGATGTGAGTCGGCCCGGAGGGGGTAGCTTGGGCTGACGTCTTCTAAATTGAATTTTCGCGAGCTACATTTCAATTTGGAGAGACGTGAAACAAGAAAGCTTTTGAGTATTTTAATGAGAGGTGGTTTGGCGCCCTAGGCCCCGGTGCGGCCTTCAGTTAGGGGAGGCTCCTGCGCTGGGGCGCGTAGAATCCCCAAAAAGGCTGTGAGTTGATGGGGTTTTGCAGCCTGGTTTGCAGGGGACAGACGTCGTGGCTGCTCTATGCTGTGACCGCTATCGCTATGCTGTGACCGCTATCGCTATGCTGTGACCGCTATCGCTATGCTGTGACCGCTATCGCTATGCTGTGACCGCTATCGCTATGCTGTGACCGCTATCGCTATGCTGTGACCGCTATCTCTATGCTGTGAACCGTTTATGCGCTAACCATTTTTTGCTATGCTGTGACCGCTAACACTAACGCTGTGACCGCTACCACTAACGCTATGACCGCTATCACTGACGCTATGACCGCTATCACTGACGCTATGACCGCTATCACTGACGCTATGACCGCTATCACTAAGCTATGACCGCTATCTGTTGTGACCGTTATATGCTGTGATCGTTATGCGGATACTCAGCTGCTGCCGCCACCAGGAGTTTTGCGAGTGATTTATGGAGATGCCGAGAGGCGCTGGGCTGCGAGGATAGTCGGAGTGTCAGGCCTGATGTATGAGGAGAGGGCCGATGATGACCAGCGGCCCGACTGCTGAAGGGCAGAATGGGGGAGACCCAGGGACGCGGCACGCGTGGCGGCGCCTATTCTGAAGGAGTGGGCTGTGTAGAGATAGGGAGACAGGTTACAAAGCAGCAGTACAGACTTGAGTTGGGCTCTGAACCAGTTGGAGGACATCGGGAGGTTATCGAGAGTGAGAATGACGGTCCGTTGAGATCTCCTTTCCGTGAGCGGAGGCGAGTGTAGTGCATCATGGATCAAGCGAGACTGTATGATTTCAGAGTGGAAGGTGAGAGGCCCATCTTCATGTAGGATGCCGCGGAGGAGATGAGGAGGCGAAGAGACGGAGGGATTAGTCCGGGGCGAGGGATTCCATGCAGGGGATCTGGCATGGCGATGGGTTGGCAGAAGGGCAGCGGCGTCGGAACTCCTGGAATTTGAAACGAGAGAGAGAATCAGCGAGACAATTAAGGTGACCAGGGACGCGACGAGCAGTGATAATAAAATTGTTCAGGACTGAGAGCCATGTGATACGTCTAAGAAAAGACATGATTTGGGGAGAGGATGAACCTCGACAACGTCGAGGTTGTCGCACATCACGGAAATCCTTTTCCTCTGCCACATATGGCTCCACAGCGCGCAGGCTACGGTCACGGGATATATCTCGTGGAGCGCGGAGGAGATGTTTTGAGGGAAGGCGTCGGGCCAGGGCCCGGCGAACCACTGGTCCTGAAAGACTCCCCCAAAACCCACGGACGGGGCTGCGTCCGTGAAGAACCGCAGGGCGTCCGAGGATAGGACGACGTTGCTGTAGAAAAAAGGAGACGCCATCCCAACGGCTCAGCAGGCGGGACCAGAACGCCAGGTCGGAGCGGCACCCCGCGGCCAGGCAGACCGCGTCGTTGAGGGAGGAGACGGAGCCGGCGAGGGAGAGGAGTCTGGAGATGAAGGAGCGACCTTGAGGAATTATGCGGATGGCGTAATCAAGACGCCCGAGAAGGGAGAGCAACTGACGCTTCGAAAGTGACAGGGATGACGGGGCAGACCGGGAGATAGCGCGGATGCGCTCGAGTTTGCCCAGCGGGAGGGAGGCCTCCGTGGCGCGCGTGTCGAGGCGGATGCCGAGAAACTCTAGAGCTGTGGCGGGCCTGTGGTCTTCTCCTCGGAGAGGGGGACTCCCAGGGCGTAGAAAGCGAGCTTGAGGTTGCGGAGAGAGCTCCCGGAGCCGTCCGAGGGTGGGTCTACCACGAGAAAGTCGTCGAGGAGATGCAGGACGGAGGGGAGCCGTACATAATTTAGCAGGATCCAGCACGGCGCCTCCGCAAGAGAGGGGCGCTGGAGGGAAGGGGCTGTTGATGCTCGGGCGGGCCCGGAGCGGGGACAGGAGAGGACGAATATGAGACGCTTCTTCCTGGAGTGCTTGCGGGTGGCGATGCCCGTCGGGTTAGAGCGAGACGGAGAGAAGGGGCCAATGACGTAGCACACGGACACCTCCCGCGCCCGAGCCGCGTGCCGACTTGGGGCTCACGGAGAGCCGGGAAGAGGTTGCGGGACACGAGACGCCGAGGGACCTAAACAGAGCTTGCAGTCCAATGTGAGGAATTTAATAGAGTTTGCAGTCCAGAGTGAGGTATTAAAACCGGGCCCGTAGTCCAAGTGAGGCGTTTAACTGAGAGCCTGCAGTCCGGTGTGAGGGAGTTAAATGACCTGTAGTCCAAGGTGAAGGATTAAACTGAGAGCTTGTAGTCCAGAGAGAGGGATTCAACGTTGCCCGCAGTCCTAAAGAGGGATTTATAACAGAGAGCTTGTAGTCCAATGAGGGATTAAGCCGAGAGCTGCAGTCCGGTGTGAGGGATTTAACAGTTTTACGGTCCAAGTGAGGGATTAACTGAGCCCGCAGTCCAAGTGAGGAGTTTAAACTGAGAGTTTACAGTCCAGTGAGAGGGATCCAACAGGCCTGCAGTTTTATTTAATTATTTATTTATTTATATTTATTTATATTTATTTATGTTTATTTATATTTATTTATAGTTATTTATAATTATTTATAGTTATTTATAATTTTTTATTTATTTATAATTATTTATATGTATTTATTTATCATTTATTTATTTTTTAAATATAGCGTTCCAGATATAGGCAGTACCATGTATGCAGTTCCATGTATAACCGTACCATATGAGCAGTTCCAATATAGCGGTTCCATATATAGGCAGTTCCATATATAGGCAGTTCCAGATACGGTACAACAGTTCCAGGTATAAGTAGTTCCAGATATAATTTAAACAGCGCTTGCAGTCCAAAGAGAGGGATTTAAACAGAGCCTGCAGGCCAAAGTGAGGGATTAAAACAGAGCATGCGGTCCAATATGAGGGATTTAAACAGCGCTTGCAGTCCAGAGAGGGATTTAAACAGAGCCCGCAGGCCAAAGTGAGGGATTAAAACTGAGAGCATGCGGTCCAATGAGAGCGATTAAAACTGAGGTCTTGCATTCCAATGTGAGGGATTAAACGGAGCTTGCAGTCAGAGTGAAGATTTAACGGAGCTTGGTTAAAGAGGGCCTGCAGACTAATGCGAGGGCTTTAAACTGAAGCCTGCCCACCAGCACTGGGCCAACTGAGCCTGCAGTACAAAGCGAGGGGAAAAAACCGTCCGCGGATCTCATACTTTACCCACAGCGCCAGAAGACAAGGGACAACACGACGGGACCACGCCGTACCGGCACAAGGAGACAGGGATGCGCACGGCTCCCACCGCAACGGGCTTAAGTCTCGACGAGACGAGCAGCGGCAAACCCGCGGAAAGAGCCCGCAAAGAGGAGAGCGGCAAAGACCCACGGACCACAGCACGAGACCCGCAGCAGGTGCAGCCACAGGAGGAGCAGACCACACGCAGCAAGACAGAGGACAGCAGGGACACGCACGAGTAACGTGAGTAGACAAAGCGATTCCTCCAGAACGATTCTTTGCGAGGCTGAGATGACTTCTGTTGTGACCTAGGGCT